TAGGAATCTATAATAACAAATTCAACATGCCAGCATTGTTTAAGTATATATATAGCTATACATCCTTAAAAGTTATTTACGAAGCGAACGCGCATCCTCGCGTTCAACAATAACAGTTGATGAATAGGTAAAGTTTCGAGAAGTACATTGCCGAAAATCTGTACAAGATATGCACATTTCCCTCGCGTGCGTCTCCTCTGTCTCGTTGAAACGCTCGCGACGTTATCTTCCGATTCGATTCGTCCGACGTACATTTTCAGTCCCCAGTCGGTCATAGGCCGGAGAGAGAGGAAGCTGGATTCTACTTGGCAAAACGAATTTGTACGATCGGCGGCATAAAGTAACGTAACGCAACGTAACAGTTTGCGAAAGCACGTACTTGCATAAAGTCGTTGTAACGCGGACGTAAATGCGATACGTGTTTCCGCGCCAAAATGCATAGGGACTCGGAACGTTCTCCCAGCGTCGACGAGAGTCGAGACGACATCGACTTAAACGAATTTCACCGACAAACTCCACGGCGACGTTGTCATTTTACCGCGAAACTCATTTTACGCGACCCAATGGGGAATACGTACCCCCGTGCGTACCTCTGTTCCACAGAATCTGTGGCACATACCGCGCACCATGCCCCCTCCAAAGATTTCGACTCGTCCCTAGCCTTAACGCGACCCGCGCGATCGACCCGTTCCGCACGCTTATTACGCTAGACGACGAGGGAACTGCGATGCGTAGACCGTGACACATCATGAGACGGACTATATTCTACTCGCGTATACCTTCATACCGTGGTTGAGGAACAATTTCGTACCGTACGCAAGAGTTCCGTGATCGATAAATCATTTCCATCTTATTAACGTAACCATCGCCGCGTCGATAGTTACTTTCCATTCACCGTTAATGAATCACGAGAGAAATTCTCTTTTTTCTGGGGAACAAACATCCATAACTTCGGACTCCGTCGTAATTCTCAATTCCGTAAGAGCTCGAGGTACTCGACCCGGTATCGATAAAAGCTTTTTAAACGAGACGTCGCCGTCGCCGTACGCCGATACGTTTTTACTCGCGAAGAAAAAGTAACCGGAATTAATTACAAATTTTCCCACAGAACGCGTCTCTTCCGCATATTTTACTCGCACCGGCATTTCATCGTCTCCTCCGCGTTACCATTCGAATTCAACGTTGCACCGCGCGCGGAACGTTATATAATTTCTATAGCATCCTTGCATTCGTAACCGACGCGCTTCGTCTCGCAAACATTTTCAACGCAACGTCAACCGTATTTTGCAGTACCCATGGAGTCAATACAGGGAGTGGCCGGACAAAAAGCTACTTTGCCCTGCAACATACAACCCCGTGAGCCGAACGACGCCGTCTCCATGGTACTCTGGTTCAAAGAGGACAGCGGCGAGCCTCTGTACAGGTAACTCATCGCTCTTATTTACGATATCGCATCGAATTGTAGTGGAAGTTAAATAGTACCGATCGAATCTGGTACAACTCGATCCGTAAATAGCATCTAAATACCTCGTGGCCGCAGTACGAGTACCGCCCGGTTTCTCGTTTCTCTAGGGCTCGATATTTTCAACGTCGACGTTGTTATCGTTCTCGGAGAATGGTAGCAGTGGCCCGTAAAAAGTTGGTCTTTTTTTCGGGGAAAATTATTTGATGCGTAGGCAGTGTCGGGCACGGGGCACCGCTCGAAACAGCATTGTTCGAAAAGCGCAAAGGGACGGGCGAGTTATAAAAGAGAAAAATCGACGATTACGCGAGACAACAGATTCGCCGTAATTTCCATGACTGCGCACGGCCGGTGGTCTCGCGCACCGTACCCGAGTACCGAATACCCGGTAACGAGTACCGAGGACTCGACCGCGACCAGGTCGCGGTGGATTTGCGGCACGCGTAAGACCGAAACGACACCGGGATTTCGTTAAGCCACGAATTGTCTCTATGTCTCTCAGCGCTCTATTCTTCGTACGTACTTTATAAACCCACGCTCGGGGTCGATTCCGTCGACGGTCGACCGGATTCGGTCCTCGTAAATATTGTCTTTATGGAGTGTCTCGTAATACTAGGATCGCGACCCAGCCGGAAGCACCGACGTCGTTCCTCTCCGGTAATGCGTCGGGAATATGCCGTTTTTCTTTGCGATCGCGCATCTGTAACCACTCTTCCAGTTACATTTCCTCTTCGCTCATTGAAATTCCATTCGACCATTTTTGAACCGTATTCGAGAACTTGGCGGCAGCGCTACGATAAATAAAATCGTACCCCCTCCCGCCTAGCACGTCTCGTCAATTTGCTCCGAGAGCGTTCCTTTTGTTTTTACTCGCTTTTCGCGTCCCTATGCCGGTGGAAAACAAGGATCGATGACGCTTCGTTTCGAAGGAGGTAGTAACGCAGCGTCTGCAAGGTTTCGTTTTCTCGAGTGGATAGTTGTACGAGTTTCAAGATGGCTGTCGATCAATTTCCCTTATTACCCATGCATCGATACAGCTGTGTGTACATGCATAAATGTAGTTATACGCCAGGATACGCTAGCTACGATCACAGCTACGGATAGCATTGCCTACACCGTATGCCTCTATACGTATATACCCTCTGTACTCCACACTTCAGACTGCGTAATATATATGGGCCACACTTACATCAGTCTTCCTCTAATTAACGCGTTTCAGCCTCGTAAAGTAAATGAACGCTCTTATGAAATGCAAATTCGGATGAGCAGCTTAATTAGAATTATGCCGGGATTATTTCCAAATTATCGTACCTACGCGTTTACCTTGCGCGTTTAAGAATGACGACGAAGATTTAAACATCGTCGCCCTTAATCTACGCTTTTCACCCGCGAGTACACAGTCGCTGCGTAACTTTCGCTGTTCGAGATCCTCCCACAGCTTTTTCACAGTCCCTATCTACGTAGCTAAGTACTCGTTTAAGGGGACACCTGCCGACTCGACGCGCGTGACACGCAACACGAGCTTTTATATCTCCGTCGGAGGAAGTAACGATAAAGCTTTCCCCTCGTTCTTTACTCGGTGGCTGAAACTTTTTAAGATGATCGCGAGCAGCAAGGACACGAGTCACTCCGAGTAGCAACGCGTTAACTATTCCGCCGACCTCGCGGACAGGATAATACCGCGCTAATTAAACGTGTGCCCGGATTAAAAATGCGACGCGACGTTACCTAGCGACCGGCCATTCTCCGTTTTCCTCCGCGTCCGTCTTCTCACCGTGGTTTGTTTGTCTATGCCAGCCCGCCGATCGATGAAACGTTCGATACTGTACGACGAGCGAAAAGTACAACGGATCGAGTTCGGCGATTATGTGACGCGCGGTAACAACCTCGAACTTAATAATTAAAGCGCAGCGTAACGGAGTTGTGCGCGACGCCAGGACACAGTAACGCGAGTGATCATGTAATCGGTCGTGGCACGTATATATATATACCTAACGCGCGAGACAGCACGAAACGTAGCAAAGATCATCAAACTCGCATACAAACTTTAATTACTTCTCGCGATGAATCGCTGGATCGTGCGGTAAACTTGGTCTCGACTACTTGGACGCGCAGCCGGCGCAGCTGTGAACCGTTTCCCGCTACCATCGTCCGATCGAGCCGCACCGATCGCGCTGACGTCAGATCCACCCGCGCAAAGTACGGAACGGGGAACTACGAAACCGCGGACGCAGCGTACCCTCCACCGATCCTAATATAAATAAATCGTTCATCGATGTACTGAAAGTGAAAACACATGTGCCGAGATCCGTTCGGTCCTTCGTTCGACGAGCCGCGAAGCGTCGCGTTAGTTTCCGCTACGCGTAACTCGAACGCACTTTTCACCGACTTCAATTATACGATTGTCTGCGTCGTTACGCACGATGCCGTGACGGTAACGTGACTCGTTCGATTCTCGCGTGCACGTGGAAACTACAAATGGTAAACCGTGGTACCGTCCGATCTCTTATCAATCCGCTATTACCGCCTATTGTTGCCTACCGTCCGTTTCGCGATTACCTAACGCGTTACGCAACGCAGCGTTTAAATGGAAAACGCGAACATCCGACGTTTCTCTGTTTCTTGTTTTTTAGTTTTCAAGTGTTGATATTTTTATCTCAGAAAAATTATTCGAGCAATGCATTGATGGTCAAATTGTACTTAGCTTCGTCGAAGAGTCAGCTACAAAAATACACGCTATACTATCGAACCACGATCAGTTCGACGGTCAAATATTTCGAAACCGTCTTCAGTGTCCGAAACAAGTCGTCTACGTACATATTTTATCCGGTCTACACGTAGCTATATCGGCGTCATATTGGTTGATGCTTCCTGGTCCGAGCCGTACCACTGCCAACCACGATGATCGAATTATCACCGCGGTCTAACCACCCACGTAGGTTCGTACGACCATAGCTATGTATCTCGAGTACAACGTGTATTCCCGGAACAGCAATCATACAAACTAAAAATGAAATTTCGCTAGCCGTTCGGTCCATTCTACCGTATCGCTGCAATCGAAAAAAAAACGTAGTCAATAGAATACGAATAATTTTCGCGACACGCGTAACTCTAGGCGCGTATCGGAATAGACGAAAGATATTAGGTTCACACATACGGCGTACGCGAGGTTGGTTATCTGCGCGAGCTACCTGTAATTGATTTGGTAGCGCCATGCCAGTTCCATTCGAACGATCGAGGTTCAACGATAACTCGAACAGGCGCTGCCGAACCGAAACTACCGCCGCCGTTGCCGCTCCACTCATCCTGCCTAGCTATCGATGGATAAACGGTGACCGATCACCGATCATCGGGCCTCATTTACATTTACGAGCACGATATCGATGGCGTCGCGTGCTGCGATGCTTTTATCTCCCGTATTCACGTTTACATACGCGTGCCTAGATTTCTCGCGCACGATGAACGACCCCGATGTGGCTACATACGTACGTATCCGTGTTTGTGCGCGTGTATGTCACGTTTGATGTTCGCATCAATAAATCCTGTTTACTGCCACGCCCGGTGACAACTGCTAATTCGCTTCCTAATAAACGGTTAAACGCGAATCCGACTTTTCCCGGTTTTCCGCCGATAAACATCAAAGATAGCGATGTCGCTCGATTTGGATCGTTCGTCAGGCGATAGACAATTAAGTTATAACGGAAATCTATTCGCGTCCTATTTTTAATTCAACGATTGTATCGTCGCTGCTCGGTTTAAAAGAAAAACGGAGAACCGCACACCTACACGTCCTGGGTAACGATTCCAAGTCGGAGGCGCAGGGAAGTTATCGGTGTATTTATACGCGTATTCACGGAAGAGGAGAATATCGATTGGCCTTTCAATTCCGACGGGCGCGATCGGACGAACTAAGATAAAAAACGAGTGACGGGAGGGAAGGGGATGGTGCGCGAGAGAGGGGAAATGCAAGCTAGCAAGCCATCGACAGCAATTGCTATTCGTGGGTGGCAGAGTATAAAAAAAAAAAAGGTAACAAAAGGCTCGTCCACAGCGCGAACTGCAGCGGAGTGTCTTTTATCTGCTTACGCTTTATTTGCATTCGCGCAAACACAGCGAGGTACGTGGAAAAGAGGAGAGAGAGAGAGAGAGAGAGAGAGAGAGAGAGAGAGGAGGGGAAGAACACCCGAGCATGTACGTAGTAGTCGCCGTCGTCTGGCTAGGCGAGCACGTACACGCGTATCTACGTTCCGTGAACGTGGAACCGAACGCGACGATGAATGTAAAAATGTCACACGGGACTCTCCTTTTGTTTCGTCATGCATTTATGTATGAGTCGGCCCGTGTCTAATCCACCCCTCCGCGCGAACGTTCAAAATCATCCTTTTCAAGGAGAATGCATCGGCTTCTACTCGCTCTCGCCTTCTCTCCTATTTCTGTTTTCGCGTCCCCAGTGCACCCAGTCACCAATCCCCGGTTCGCCGACTCGCGCCGCGAAATCGAGCGTGTTCGAGTCTGATTTGCGTCCCGCACGCGCGATAGCTGCGAAACGAACCGCGAACGTCCCGTGAAAATACCGTCTCGCCTTGCTCGAGACAATCGTTCGCAACCGTGGAAATATAAATCGGCCGGAATTTGCGAGCGACCATCTTCCTTCACGCTAGATATCTCGCGTAATGAAACTCGGAACGGTCCTAAACGATCTTACGGGTCGACGGCATTCGCGATGTTCCTACCTTCCGCTTTCCTTCCTTCGTGAAAGGAACGGGGAACGCTTCTTTTCCGTTGCCTCCTATTCGTTCTCTGATTTAATAAAATAATCCCATCGGTTCCATTCCAGCGCGTCGCAAATGTGTAGGAAACTTTGAACATTTGCGTTAATAATCGACGAAAAAAAAACAATGTAAAAACTAGCTCCCAATCCGGAGAAAAAAAATTGGAACGTCCGATATTTCAAACGCTACGGTAGACAGATACGCTTCAGTTAATCTAATATACGTATAATAAGAGTTACCTATATCGGATTTGCTCGCAGGGAGCGAACGTGCGCGTTCGATTAGACGTTTAACGTCCCGGTGTGAAAGGGGGACTGAAATGGGAACGCGAAAAGTGGTATGTCGGCGTCGACGATCGTGTAATCGGATATTATATTCACCGATCAGATTGATATCTCTGTCCTATTATGCCGCGGCATGAATTCCATTTTGAAGAATTCCAGGGCGCGGTTTCACAGCGTTCATATTTGAATAGGAAGGAGGGCGAACGAGCGAGAAGGGGTGCGAGGAGGGTGGCAAAGTGGCAGCTAGAAACGATAGGGATTGCTGTCGCTGCAATAGCGGTGGTACACGACGGATGCGGAAACCGACGACGTCGAACCGGTAACCAGCCGCGTGCGAATCGAGAGCTGGTTGAAGAGAGAAAGAGAGATTCCCGATCGCGTATCAGGCCACAGGCCATGGACCGTGGGCGTTTAACCGTCGACATATTTTCGTTTGTTCGTGATTCATGTAGCTCACTCAATACTCTTAATCGACGATTCTATCCTTGATCGAGATAAAACGTTTCGGCGATCTCGCACCCCTCGTCCGAAACGTAAACTTGTATTGATGTACAATATCTATCGAGTCTTCGAGTTGTCATGACTTATATCGCAAGGATTTGTACTAGTTACAATTGTAAGATGAAAAACGGAGAAATGATCCGCAATCGCAAATAAATCCGACGGGTCATTATTCAGGATTCATTAGGGTCGCGGTTTGAGCTGCTCGCTTAAATTCATGAGAAAGAAACTTTCTCTGCCTGGCTTACGTCTAATCTCGATTAAAAATCGCTTTATCGCTGCTCCAGCTATGCCGGTACGACGACGGAGCCCGGCCTCTTCTTTCGTTAACTCGCGGGCAAATTATATTTTCCGGTCTAGCAGAAACGGAAGAAAAAAAGCAAGGTGTCCCGCCGAGCCTAGAGAAACGTCCCGGTTCGTCCGCGAGCGTCAGGAATGGGAATAGGAAACCGAGGGTAGAAAAAGAGAGAAAATGCGACAGCGCAGTGGCGACACCGTCCGCAATTACAATGCCTTAATTTTATGCGCGAAGTTAAGCTCCTTTTAAGAGTCCCGAGAGCGGTTAAGTCCTCTTCGCGGTCCTGTCTCTCCTCGTCTCTTTCTCTTTCATTCTAGCAATACCCCTTTCCGGGTTTCCGGCCTGGCTTCTCCGCGAAACACTAGTTTCACTGACGGCGACGCTAACCGTATTCATGGGAAACGTTCTTTCGACTTGCGAACCTCGCCTTTGCGAGATCTCCACGACGCGACGAGTCGCGACAATTACTTTAATTTGTTTAGAGACCATTTTCCCTACCCTTCCTCTCCCTCGAGATCGCTCCACGAACCAAAAGGTTATCTGACGTTCTCAGTCGAATGCACTTCCGTCGGGTCTGTATCGAGATCCACAGCTTAGGAAAGTCTGAAAGCTACGAGCAAACTCTACCATCGATCCGACTATGACGAATCGTACAAGTCGACGGAAAAATTGATCTCACAATCAGTTTAGACAAGATCGTAATTAGCGTGCAGCGAAACTCAACGTATATCGATTTCACCTCTCTTATTATCGCCCCAATTTAGATTTTCGTTTTAGCAGACGAAAACGAGTATCGCGAACTTAAGAATTCGAACAGATTAGACGTTGTTAGAAATGAACATTTTCTCATCGACTAACTTTCGCTCCTAATGTTGGATCGATTTTCAGTTACGACGCGAGAAATCGGCAATCCGGAAAACCGAAATTGTGGAGCTCTCCGCATTTTTGGGGAGACAGGGCAAACTTCAAGGCGAGCCCACCGGCCCAGATTACGCTCCGGGATCTTCGGCAGAGCGATGAAGGAGTTTACAGATGCAGGGTAGATTTCCGAAATTCACCGACGAGGAACCTCAAGGTCAACTTTACCGTCATCGGTGAGTTATCAAAAAAGTATTTTCGCCTAAGTGGGCACTACATCGTAGTTTACATAATCGACACGGTTCTTGCGGCGAATCTTGGCGTAAAGTCCGAAGCGTACTCGGACGAGCCAAGTTTTGAATGGAGCTCGAAAATCGAGGCCGAAGAGATGGCGGCGCTAAAACGGTTGGCCGCGTTTTAACGTTAAAATTTAAAAACACTGCTCTCGTCCAGCTTTCCCCGACGCGAACTTTCCTAGTTCCGTGCACGAACTACTCGGGGAAGTTATCAAAGTCCGTTGGAAATTGTGATACTTGGACGGATCGTGATCGCGATCGGAGAGTGCGGGAAGCTCGAAACTCGATCGAGACCGATCGATCTTCAATCGTGCACAAGAAGAGTCCATTTTGAGGGACAGCAAACGATCGCGCGGTCGATTGATTCGTGTCGGTACTCGTTTCCGGTTGCCGCGAATACGATCGATACGAATAATTACTACGGCCAAAGACTTTATTCGTGGATGGTGGGTAATCAGCCGCCGTGCCGTCGGTTCAACTTCGATATCGTTCCATCTCAAGTTCCTTTCGACCGACAGCTAGATGTAGATACTAGATACGCGTGCACTGGACGTTCGACATAGACTTCCTCGATTCCAGTGTAATTCAATTTGTCACGTCTTTATTCGGTCAAGCAGCAGGAATGGTGCGATACCACGAAACTAATCGAACGGAGCATATTTGTAAGTACCTTATAAAGGGTTTATGCTCAATCCCCGAAGTTCGAAAGCATTCGAAACGTTGACTCGTGCATCTCCGTGATTTTCATCGGTCAAATTTCCGGCGCGGAAGCGGAAACTCTCAGTTAGGTTTCTCGATACTTTGTGGCAAACGTAAGACGGGCCCAGAGGACGTCGGACTTGTCTCTTAATAGGATCCAGCGAGTCGCTGCGGCGTATCGTGGCCAGTGTTCGAAGAGAAAGCGTTCCGTAGTTGGATGTTAGAACAGACGGGCACAAGCCCGGAGTCCTTTCAGGAAACCTCTAACTTGATTTACTTATCGATCGACTATTAAACTGAGTTAAAACACGGACGCCGATTCCGGTCAAAACTCGGAGACGTTCCTAAATCTGTCGCAACGTATTAGTGGCCCGGTGTATGTCACACGATTTCAGCAATAGCAATCTCTTTCTCTACCTTCGACATGGCACCTATGTCCTCTTCGGTCGACCGAAGGAAAGAATCTGGGAGAAATAGGGGATCCAGAAGAGGAGGTATGCTCGCGTTTAATTGTGAAATGAAAGCTGCCAAAGTAACGAATCGACGGACGTTGATCCGATTAGAATTTAGTTTATATCTGAATGGGAACCTGGCCCCTGTTCCTACTATTTCGCACTTGGAGGACGCGCGTTTAATAGCCGATTACGAAGAAATTAATTCTGGATATTCTGGAGATAAGTCCCGCTTTCGAGCTAAACTCGACTGCCTCCTTCGCTATCTTACTTCAAATTCCTCCGTTCCGATTATCTAGCCGTCTGATTCGTTCATCGCTCCTTTCGTTATCCACGATATCTTAACTGTCTCTCTGTTTCTTCATTTCAAGCTCCCCCTTTGTATCCCTCGTTCGAGTTACCGGCCGAAAGTTTTCGCATCGTTGCCAGCGAGATAGGAGAAGTGATCGAAGGATTCGGTAGATGCGACGCGACATCGTAACTGGATAACTCGAGGGACTTTCACGCGGAATTCAGCTTCCGTTAAGCCGTTAGGTGTTCTAATCTCTCTCTGGACCTAAACCTAAACCTAAATCTAGATCCGAACGCGCCGCATCGAAATCCGTAGAATCGCACGAACTATCGCGGTGGACGCATTATTCGCTGGAATAGATGCTCGATGTCGAATATCCGCGTTTAAGCCTCTTATCGGTGATTACCTATTAGCCCCATTGAACGAAGACCGATACGGTCAGCCTTTAAAGGGAGGAGGGCAGCCTCCGCGTCCCTCGATCCCCGTCTTCCGAAAGAGACATTGTCCGGGCGAGCCAACGCAGCGGCGAGGCTCAAGTGTTCCGGGAAGATCCTCATCGCCGGACGCGACGCTTCCTCGCCGGGTTCGGTTTTTTCCCTCGGTGCTCGTAGCTCGATGCACCGTCTACTACCCGCGTAATACCTCGGAGTCGATACTCGACGTCGAGCATCTCCGTTTAAGCCTCTTATCCATGTAATTACTCGGAGACCCGAAAGACAGTGAAAGGAGGAAGGACTCGAGTCCAGATAAAATAAGCCGAGCATCAAACACTTTGCTTACCTCAGTATTTCCCGGCTTCTCTCTTCCGTACTGTTCATCGGCCATTTACAAGAGCCGACTTTCATCGCGCGTAACTTCAAATATTCAAGCATCACAAATGCAGCCAATCTCGTCGAGCGTTCGAAACTCGCAAATAATTTTTTCGCGTCGGCCGGCTCCCGGTCGGAACAATTGAAAAGATCCTCCCGTCTTTGTTCCGCGACCGCGATCTCGACTACCTACGATCGAATCGGTCCGACGAGATCCAATCTTGCACCCGATGTTATATAGTTTCGTCGCTGGCGCGCTTTGAGGGAGCGCGAAATAAGAAAGGAACGAAGAAAAAAATTAGAATTCAGAATAAGAGAAAAAGGGGAAAGAGCGGATGGGTTCTCGAGCGAAATTTAGCCCGGTAAATGCAAGCAACGGAAGAACGTTCTCCTCCGCGTTCTTTCCTGACAAAAACCGACGGTCTGGACCCGAATAATTGATCGTCCTTACAAATGGTGTATCGTCGATGCAACTTATCCCTTATCCGGTGAATAGTTTCCGAAGTACGTAATGGAAACTCTGCCATCGGATATGCGTGCAGAACGAAAAGCGCGCGCGAAGCAAAATACTTTTTTGCCGAAGCGACGTAAGAACGAGAGGTCGTTTCGCGTTTTTAGTTACAAGTTTTCAAGTTTCTAAGAAGAAAGTAGATCGGATGGTGGGATACGGGGAACGAGATTACTTTCACGGACGCGCGCGGTTACCCACCGTCTTCTAAAGAAATCATGAATCGGGAGAAAGGAGATTCAATAATGTATCGAGCAATCGAACTTCGATGGAGAGTCGAACGAGGGCTCGACCCCGACCCGGCCAACTTGAAACTTTCGATCGGGGCTGATCGCGAGAAGAAAGAACTTTTGACCATCGAATAAGGTTCGCTGTTTGCCGTAACGGGTGGATTTCTACGTTTGCTAATGACTGGATCGAAACTGACCGTGTATACATATACTACCTAACTAACGTGATATTACGTACACATGTCTATGTCGAAGAAACGCAGAATTGAAAAATTATCTACGAAGCGCGTCTACGAACATTGCATTATTTGTCGTCGGTTCTGGTGAATTCGACGCGCGTTTCGTTCTTCCGGATTCGGGAGAGTCTCTTTATTCAGAGCGGCCCGCTGCACATTTTCGCGTTCGTTTCTCGAGCAAAGTTCACCGGCTCTCGTGCCCGGAGGTTATCTACGAAAACACGCTGGTAGCACGGTCATTAAGCGGAAGGACGTCTACGAGAATTTTAAAGCATCCTGTTTTCGAAGGAAAGTCGGGAATCGATCGCCCGGCTCCACGAAACTACGATCACCCGCGTCCGTTTGTTACGACGACCACTGGAAACGAACGTTTGGTCAACGTTTCATTTTGTTTTTCCCGGATTTTTCCAACGACAAGGCGAATAATGTAAGGATACGTATCGATCCGAACGAAGAGTTCGTACAGCTTTGTATACGAAACCGTTGGGAATACTACGAGGCGTATTAGAGAGGAGGACGAAAGTAAAATTACGTTAATGCGCGCGTATCGGACAACGGTCTCATCGCGTTCGCGATCCCGCATAGTCTCGCGCGGTGGGAATAGCGCATACTAGTTTGTGTACGTAATTTATGATATTCAATTTCACGGCTCTGAGACGCGTCGTAACTTGTTCGCCTCCGGTATATATCGTATCGAGGCGGAAAATTGAAGGAGAGGTGAAACGTCCTGGTACCGTGCGATTACGTACCATACGGAAAAGGTCTCTTGGCAGAACCGTTGATTACGCTCGGAAAGGAGTATGTCAATTTTTTCGACTCCGTCCTTTGAGAACGTCTCAAGAGGAGACAGGAGTGCGGAGAGAGTCGCAGGGATTATTCGAGTCACGCGTACGATTCACCGATATTCCTCCGGTTCCTCTTCGACGTATCCCATCTGTTCGATCGGTCGGTCGGTCGGTCGGTCGGTGACTCTCGAACATGTTTCGATCAGGGGTGGTCTTCGGCATTCTAGCCTCTATGTACGATCTACGTGCCCACGACTCGCATTCCGCCTCTCCCTCGAAGATGTTCCCTCGTCTCGAGAACTCCGACGACGCGAGATCGCGTAATCAACGCGCGTACTACTCTCGAAATTGAATCCCGACCGCCTTCTTTCCGCTTCCGGTGACGGTACATATGGACGAGTTGCTCGACTCGTCGAACCTATCGTCGATTAAATTTAACCGCACGTCTGATTCCCCCTGTCGATCTCGCACCAGTCCGTGTGTCGTGGATCGCGGTACGGGTGAAAATAATTTTCGATCCATCTCGGAGAGCCACGGAGCTCGTAGAAAGTACCTACGAGTTGGCGCGAAACTCCAATTGCTCCGACTTGCTCCAACCCGAAGCGGAGCTCGTTAAGCGAAGAAAAACAAAGCTCGTAGTAGTTGACGTGCACCCGGGGCAATTGTACGATCTGTTGAAGCAGCCCGCGGTTCATTTTTTCCGAGTCACGACCGCGGTAATTAATAAACTGGCTGTCGCGTTCGTCACGGGTCACAGTAAAGGAGACGAACTCATAAGAACGGCAGCCAACCGACTGAATCGCATTCTTTCCATCCTTCGCACCGAAAATCATTCACGAGCGTAAAATTCGATGTATTCGCACACGATGTACAAACGTGTACGGCATGCGTACGTAATCGACGCAGCGCAGTCCATTCCAGAAATTTGC